GTCTGCACACCAACCCACCCCCCTTTCCACCCGCTGATACCGATTGTGGCTTCAGTGATGTTAATATAATTTTTCAAGTCTACGTATCATATTCACACTTATCTAGTAATTCTTCGTCTGGTAGGTTACCTTGTCAGTGAGGCTTCCTTTGCTTTAGACGTTTTAGAAAACTCGAGCAATTGTCGAAGAAAACTTTCCAGGATAGAATTTCCTTTCAGCCTTTTTACAATTTCGGTTTGGGATAAGAAGAATTAAGTAGGAAAAATTGTTCAGGGAATTGTGCTGCAGCACACTTGGCTTGACAAACTGGATACTTTATACAAGAGCAAGATAACTTTGAAAGTAAGAACATATATTCACGCACGAAATAGCTGGTTACTTTTTATACACATCTTTACTAAGGCAGTAATGGGTCTTAACAGAGACTTATAGGTTCTTTGTGCAAGTTTGAGCTTTGCCAAAAGTACTACAGTGGGCATGCGCGAATCTGCGTTGTTTTGGCTGGAAGAAAGTCTTTGCGAAAATGATGACGGGGTAAAAACGCTTGCAGTTTCATAGTTTGACAATAATGAAAAGGGTCAATTTGATGCCGAAAGCCCTACAAACGTTTTTGCACCTACAATGGAACTGTGTGGAGTATTTCATTTCATGCGAGTATTTCACCAATGACTTGAATTGAATCCCAAACTCGCTTTCGAACTCGTCTTGGAAACTAGAGGTCTTTAACAGTTGCAAAGTACATAGTAAACCTCAAAAATTTTCAGAATCTCATCACCCTCTTTTTATACAATACATCTCTTTCTACAGACAATACGTCGCTGACATGCATCATTTCAAACAATCTAATAAATATTAGCCTACACCAAATAGAAATACTGAATCTATTCGCCGTCTCTGTTCTCGCACTATTTACATATAGAGAGAAGAGTTGCTTCGTTACATGTGTAGCGGTTTTTTTTTCTCCCAGCTGCTTTTAAGCTAGACGTTTTTAATGAAAACTAGTGAATTTTAAGAAGTAAAGATCAATTGAGCATAAAATGAGATATTATCATGGTAAGTAAAGTTGATTGGTTAGAAAACCGGCAGAAATAAAAATTGCAAACATCGGTGTTGCCATTTACGTTTAAAGCTTCTTGACCGGGCACAATTCCTTGCCCAGTTTTCTGTTCACACATTGTAACTAATAAAATTATTGGGACTTATCTGATGATCAGACAGTTCGAAATAATTCGAATGTTATTGAACAATGTGAGCACCTAGAGCAAAAGTTCACATAAAACAAAACAAAACCAACGGCCGAGTTTTCTAACCAATCTCCTTTTCTAATAAAAATCGACCTGACCACAACGGCACTTGCATATTTGTAAACTTTCTCCTTTGCGTTGATAGACAATATTTACATCTCTATCCTCTGCCAATAAAACTCGACAAACTTTATTTGCAAGAAAGGAAAAACTAGGCATGCATACCTGTAGCTATAAGAGCAGAAGAAAATCTTTGCAGCAATTAAAGGTTCCCAAAAGACTACTTTGGATACATACTACGAGTGTTTATTTAGTGTTAAGCTACACCAATATGGCGAACGTGACGGCATGGGAATGCACTTAATCGCGGAAAGTGGTTGTCTAACGCTAATAACCTAGACTCTCCCGGTTGGGAGATTCGGAGCTTTTTAGGGGCTGACCATTTAACTTTTGAGGGGGGGTGGGTGATTTTGAAAATAAATTTCCTGCAAGCGCTTGTTGGAAGAAAAAATTGCATGCAGCCCAAATGTAACAGAAAAAATGTGCCAAAAACTCAGAAAAAATATCCTGCACAGCAGATTGCTAGAAAAAAAATTTCTTGATGACCAGAAATCACTCACCCCACCCCCGTCAAAAGTTAAATGGTCGGCCCCTTAGATCGCGGAACTGAAGAGAAAAACGGTAACTTCGGCGAAATGTTTCGAAGTTGCTTTTGTCCCTCTCCTGCCTAGAGCCTCAGTGAAAATGAGGTTTTTTAGCCTTGTAATCTTCCTTGATGATTCATGGGTAAGATGAACCAAATGGTTATAAATATCAGAACACATGCGTCAGTTGGGTTTCTATAAAACAATTTGCCATCCGGAAAAGATTGGCATGTAAATTCTCTTTACAGAATCAATACATTGTCCAATAAACAAGTGAATGTAATTAAACCTATCCGAATATTTGAGATCTTACCGCTGAATTCTCTTAAAAATTTACAAGGAAATCTATAGCAGTTAGAAGGGAGAAACCGGCACTAACCCGACCTTCATTTAGCAGGATGAAGTCCTGATTTTAGAACTTGGCAGTGAAGCCTGTTTATCTACAAAGTCAAAGCTGTGTTTAATCTCAGGACTGTGCTTTTCGCTTGATGTGCTGGAGTGCTGATAGCCTGGGTTGTTAGGCGACCTCACCGCTGTCCCAGTGCGTGATTCGCAATTCGGGTATTTGGCGCCGCTGCCACTCAAATCCCGTGGCTCTTTTCGGGGTCCAAGACGCAAGACCTCGCGAAAGGCCTGCCGGAATGACCGATTAAGGGCGTTGTAGATAAACGGGTTGTTGGCATGGTTACTGACTACGAGCAGAAAAGAGACCATATCCAGCCAATGAGGAATGTGGAAATCAGGGTCAATCATCTGCACAATGTTGACCACACTGGCGGGGATGTAACATACTATGAACACTAATATTACAATAAACAATGTGGTGGCGATTTTAATGTCTTCCACATGAACGGATGGTTGGCTTCGGCGAAGATTTCCCATCATGGCTCCATGAGTTTTGATAATTTTGTAGATTTTTAGGTAGCAAAAGAGGATGACGGTGAAAGGTGCTATGACAACAAAAAAGGCGAAGATCACGGTGTAAGATATACTGCGACTGAATAGGAAATGGCAGACGCACTTTCCAACTTGATACTCGTGCTCAGACCAGCCAAGGATAGGCGCAAGAGCCAACACAAATGGTACCAGCCAAGTAACAGCCAAAATTCGCAGCGTGTTTGTGTTTGTGTAGATCCTGTTATACTTCCCCCCTTCCACGATCTTGAAATATCGATTCACGCTGATTGCGCACAACGTAAGCAGCGATGTGGCTCCAAGGAGTACGGTAAGGACTCCATTTAGTTTACAGACATACTTTCCAAAAATCCATTCTCCATGATTGATAATGGTCGACAGCATGAATATCAAATTAGCCGAGCCAAAAATATCCGCGAGGGCGAGGTTTATTAGGAAATAACTTCCTGTTGCGCGGTGAGAACGGCGCTGCTGTTGCCATAGAACGATTATCACGAGGATGTTCCCAATCATACCGCACAGAATGATAACAGCGACTACGGGTGCCAATAAACTGATAGCCAGAGTGGACCAAAGGAAATCGGGATCTACGGGTGACGTCATTATCCCACGAATAAAACAAGATCTAATCTGAAAAGAGTAGACAAATTATGACATTTATCTCAATTTATCTTGGATCAGGGTAAAGACATATTATCAGGTGGTTTGCCACGATCTGGGTGGTTTCTTGGCAATTTTGTCTTGATACATAGACATATTAGTAACATGCGATACATTCATGTCAAGGAATTCCTAATTCACCTCCAAAATGACTAACAATCATTTTCACAATGTTTTCGTGAAAGCTGCTTCGTGGAATGTAATGCAAAATTAAATTTAAGTCAGATAACTCGATATTTTCGTAATATTAATACTTCTGCGAAATAGTATTTCATTGTAGGTAATATGATGTTTGTCCTGTTGCATCGCAGGATGCCTTCTTCTTTAAACTTCAGATTTAGTGAGTGTGTTCTGCTTACGAATAGCACATTGGGGAGGTTTGATACATTTAACTAGATCTCAGAGATGACCTCGTACTGGCTGGTTAAATCTGTGGACCATAAGTTAAGAACAGCAGAAAAAGGATATCATTTTAACCAGTTCTGATGCGGTAAATGTGACGCAAGATTTAATGTAGATCCAAGCGAAATAAGGTGAACTACTGAAACATAGTTACGAAACGTCCACGGCATACTTTAAACTCTTCCAATATAAACTGTCGTGTTATGTGCCGAAATTACAAATAAACGTACCAATAAAAAAATCACTTCTTTTTTCGGGCTTCGGGCCTCTTACAGAAGAGTTTGAATCTGGTGATCTCCCTATATACGAACAAGCAGAAGGGATGTCTCTGAAACAGTTTTTAACAAAAATTCTGGATCGGCAGACTGTTAAAAAGTTTTAATGCTAAAACTACTGATAGTCTCCGGCTACAAAGTAGCCGCTGAACAATCATAATTCCCTTAACAAAGATTTCACGAGCTGGTGTCATCAGAACCAATTAGTGAATTCGGAGTGCTGCAACCTACAGAAGAACCTAACTGAAAGTACAGAATCCGAGATGGCAAAAGAGATGAAAACAATGTCAAAGGATAAAAAGAAGAGAAATTTTGTTGAGATACGCAATAACCTCATTAAAATGAAACAGAAGAGTGCTGTGCAAAAAACATCAGAACCACTTACTTAAACTTATAACAAATGCGTTGCAATGGAGGTCAGGTGCTACGGAAGATTCGTGAATGGCGTATCAACTTAACTTGTTCACTTCCACTTCTTCAATTTTTAAAAGAGGCCAAAGGGCTGATTTCTCGTCTGAAATATTCTTCTTGCATACTCAGGTATGCTCAAACAGCTATAGGAATGTAGTTAAATACTATATATGCGATACCGTCTGGGGCATTTGCCCGGGCTTGGCGGCGATGCGGCCGTTTCATCTGTCAGCTTATGTCATCTTTTTCGAGTACCGACTTTAATTCCAACGTAAATATAGAATAACAGCGATGACACTCGATTTGAACATTCTTTGCGTCTGGCGCCTTCAAATAATTATTCTTGTGATCAAAAGATTGATTAAAAGAAAGCTCAGCTAGAACGGGTAAATCCTTTTCGTCCAAACAGTTTCTCAGAGGGCGCTTTTGTCATGAAAAGTTCGTACATCGGAAATGCCTTCTGGTTCAACTTGACCAGACAATTGACTTCCTTCACCGTTTTCAATAAAGCCAACTAAGTACACGACCACGGATGTAGATAAATTTTCCGACAAAAGAGTTGATAATCTGCTTAAAATTATCGGAGACTGAACACTGACAGAGGAAGACAATGCTGGAATTTTCTGGAATCGTTAAGCAATCTCATTTACTGGTTTTTAAAGTCGCATGCAAAGGCATCGGAAATTCGTTCTAGGATGCGAATCAAGCATTGTGTTCTTTCCGTTGCTTTGAAAAATAGCGGTGTTTTTCTATCGCCCATCTTTTCCTTTCCTTCAACGCCACATTCTTTCATCGGAAAATACCGACCAGTCCTAGATGTACATCTTCGCCGCGTAGACATATTTTTTCCGTTTAATTAGCTAAAAAAGTGTGCAAAGTGGTAATGACAAGCTCTATAAAGCGAACAACTCTCGAAGCCCAAAAAACAATAATTCCTTATTAGGTTAGGTTTGATAAAAACATACGAAACTGACAAAAAAAAAACCCTTGTATCGAGCCCTGTTAAATATTGAGTGATATTCCCTTCATAACGAAACTCAAAATTCGCAGTTCCACTGTTTAAGATCTCCTTTTGCCTCGTTCCAGTTGTGGAACGTGCGTCTCAGCCAACATAATTCAACTGTTCCTCAGACCCAAAAGGCTCAAATCTATACTGAACTTCTGGCCTGAACTGGACGAAAATTAATTTCCCTTTTGCGGCATGTGGACCTATTATGTTGGGAAAACTGCACTAAGTTCTGTTATCGGTGCGCCTTGTGCTTTTATCAATGCTTTGGGAGAGGGTGGGAATGTGAGTTTTGTTTTCGTTTTTGTTTTTGTTTTTGTTTTTGTTTTTTTATTCTTTTCACTCTAGCCCCTCCGATTGTATTAGTACCTCGTTTGTAGGATTTTCGTAGCACTTTCAACTTGGGTTAAATGTCAAAAAATAAACATTTGCTCCGCACAGATAACAATCAGACGCAAGATGCAACTACAGATTAAAGAAATCCGCTTAAGTACGAAGATATTTCTACATGCGGGTGCAACGTCATTGGGGCTAATTCCATCCGCAATGAAGGGGAGTTTGCTTAATTTAACGATAGGTGATGTCAGTGATAAAAAGCTTGCTGACTTGCCAGGGAAATTGAGGTTTGCCTGATAAAAAGATACAGAAGATAAAAACCTGGCCCTTAATTGTCCATTTTGTAATTTGCCACAGCAGTGGTTTAAACGTACTGCAAATCACGTATGTGAGAATTTGTGAACCGATTTAAAATGGAGTGATTTTGTCAAGAACGGCAACGTTTAAAAAACCGACATATTACTAAGCAGGGATGGATCTGCACTCAAAGAGGTGCGCCAGTGGATTATACAAAAGATATGTCAGCATCACCGGCTTAATTAGACAAGGTCAGGTCACACGACTGAAAATCTATTACAATTTTTTTGGTTGATTCTGTCAAGTTAGATCCATGAGTCGATGTGTGCCTTGTGTGGCTCTGGGATGTTTCTTTGATTCGTGTAAACCTCCTGGAGTTCTTTAAAAAAAACTTCGTTTCTGCACAAGGCCAGCGGTTTGCTGACTAAACAACCGTCTATTCTTACCGAAGACTTTCGCCCCAAAATTACTTCTCATCGCCCAAAGCTCTTTTAAAGTATTCGATCTTAATGGTATCTAATTGAATAAGCTAAAATGCTGGCTAAAGACCGTGAAAAAGCGAAAAGAGTGTCTTTTGATGACATGAAAACTGCCTTCGGGTTGCGTTTCCTCGTGGGGCCCGCCGCCGATTTTGCATGCAAATTGAAAATGATATTCGGCAACAAGAAAAACAACGCACCGCAGAGTAAAAATAAACTGTTATCACTCTTAAAGGATTGCTCTACATTTAAAAAACAAAGTAATATACCTCGACCTTTGGTAGAAGACGTAAACTTCCTTAGCTTAATAAGTTTGGCAATAATGTATCATCAGTTCTTTGTCGCACAATACAGACAAAATCATGGCGGATTGCAGTTTTAACAACACAATGTCGGTCTTTCTTGGACGCCTAAAGAAGACTAAAGACACTATAGCACTGGAAGAACAGCAGGTAGTAGGAGGCAGGTCACAGATCGTGTTCCCCTCATGAGTGATTAAATTGTGAGACCAGCGATAATACATGTACATACTTCATTAAGACGGTTTTCACTACCATGAAAAAACACATACTTTTTTACGATGGTTTACGTTTGGCTGTGAAGTGAATGTTAATTATTACCACAGATAAACAGCTGGGGTAAACTATTACCGCTACGTGACGAAACGATTTTACACCAATATCGTGTTTTTCCCATTATTTCAGAAGCATAAAATGAAAATAAGTACCGCTCTTAAGTTAAGAAAGGCTTACCAATTTCTTCGTCAAGTTTTTCGTTTGCTTTAGATCCTGAGTTTGTCCAAATAAATGGAAGGTTTTCACCTCGTTCTCTAAACTTTTAACAAACAATCTAAAAAAATCCCGCATTTAATAAGGTTCTTATATACTGCCCTCTTGGTCGGATAAGAAGTCTTAATGGAAAGTTCTATCCCGCTATCAATTTCACATTCCACGAAGGACTTTAAAGTGCTTAAAAGATAATCCCTTCCATATTTCGAAATAAAACTTATAAATACAATGAAGAAACCTTTCCGGTAACTCAAGAATCGACTGGTTTTTTTTTGTTGTTTTTCGATGATGTTTCAAAGAGTCTTTTGATGCTGTCACGTAGTCCCCTGGGGAAAAAACTGAGAGCTCGCAAAATATTTATTGATCTCATTAAAAGCTAAGTCCCGGAAACTAAACCGAAATATGTTAACTAGCCTTAGGAGACGACCTTACCATATCGACAGACAGATTCTCTATACTAATCTCTATACATCTAAGTGGGCGCACATTGGGAGAATTGATAACGACATTTTCATAGTAAAATATCCTTTTTTTTAACGGCTAACGCACTGAATGGCATTAAGATTAAACCTGTTTTAAAAGCATGCTCTAAGTCTTGATGGAATCAGCTTTTTTAAAGACTTCGGATAAAACCATTGTGAAAGGCATACAAAACCGACGCAAGATTTGCGGTACTTTTGTACCGTTTTACGTATGGCTTTTCGTAACAGTTGTGATTGTTTAAAATGCTCAGTGAGGTGGTTGTAGGGAGGTATAGGCAAATAAATGAACGTTTTGCCTGCGTACATTCGCATGAAAGCTTCTAAGCAGCACTTTCTTCATGATGATGTGGTAAGCATTTTTTGTCTGTCGCATGAAACCTGAGTGTGTGACGATTCAATTCTGATAGCTACATTAGCAGCTGTTCCTTCGCGTGGCACTGTAGGTCTATGTGACACAAGCTAACGTAGCTCTAACATTTAGTCTGTGATCATGA